GTAGCAATAACGAAATGTGGTGAACGTTTGACCTCAGACAAGTAGATTGTCTCTAAAAAAATATTTATGTTGTTGTGGTGTACATTTTTAACGGTCTTAACTTATTTATAACTAATATTGATTATCGAAAACTTTTATATAATTTGTTTTTAACAAGGATTTATTCTAACCATAAAATTATCAGTTCTATATTTTTCATGTACAAAAAAATAGGTTTAATCGCTACATAAAAACATCACTCAGTTTTAACAAGACAATTATATCATCAAACATATATTATGATAAATTATGTAAAAGATAAAAATGATTAGATATCAAGATATTTTAAATCATTCATTATATATTTAAAATTCTTGAGATATGTGATAATGTCAAATCATTTAATTTCTATTGAAATGTTCTTAAAACCTACTAAAATTTACTTGTTTTTTTCTTATAATAGTCGATTATTGGAAAGGCTGTCCAAAAGCTTAGCAAAATTAATTATGCCCGCGTGAAGCGCGGGTTAATTACCTAGTCATACATAAAAAGAATAATTTCTCTAATTATCCCTTACGAAACTTCTTTAAACATTTTTTTTCGCGCGAATAAATTACTAAGGGAAAAGGTCTGATATACCCCTCAACTCTGCCATTTAGAGCTGATATTGGCTCATATATATCTCTACTGTTATACAAATGACTCACATATATACCATTTTCCTCTAACGGAAGGGAAAAATTAATTTTAATTTAATTTTTTAATTTTTTTTTTGAAAAAAATATAATCCATATGTGGTAGATTTGATTCTCCTCACACATATTTTTTTTTTACTTTTTTGTTTCAACGACTAATTTAAATTTATTATTTTGATGGTCAAATTTATTTATGTTTCATTAATTTTCTTGTAAAATTTATTATAGATGACCCATTTTTTGTTTTTTTTTATATATACAAAATCTAAATTACAATATAGCCACAAAAAAAAATAGTTTTAAATTTTTTCTTTACACTAAAGAATGAAAGAAAAAAAAGAATAAGAAACTCGAATAATGATAATCAAAGAAGTCAAAAAATATTTTTTGTATGAAAAAAATTAAAATATACCTTGAACTTGGCTAGAAGAATCATATATATACCTTACATGATTTTTAAAAAAATTTAAAGTAAAAAATATAAATTTAAAACTATTTTTTTCATTTCCGTTAGATAAAGGGTATATGTGAGCTCTTTTAATAACGGTAAAGGTATATGTGAGTCATTTGTATAACGGTAAGGATATATGTGAGCCATTTGTATAATGGTAAGAGTATATATGAGCCAGTTTCATAACTATAGAGTCGAGTAAGAAAGCAGCGAGATGTGGACTTCTTGACTTATTTGGCTGATGATTTAGATATATATGAGGCATGTTGGACCTTTATTTACGAAAAAAAAGTAATCTTCGGCATTAAAGCAGACAACTGGCTTATCGAGATGACAGGGGCGGCTCAACGTACTTGGAGGCCTAAAGCAAAATTTAAATTAAAGGCCTAAAATCTTTTAGCTGAGGCAATTATTATATAAAATTGTTAATATTATTTTATAAGTAATAAGTTGACAAAAACTGCTTATAAACTTTTTTTTAATTTTAAAAGCACATAAAATAAGTCAATCTAAACAGGCTTGTAATTCGCTTTATCCAACACATGATTTTTACTATTGATTCATATTTTTAATAGAGCTCTAACTTACATAGAGTCTAAAAGGGGCCTAGAAAATTACAACGCGAGAGTTAGTGAAGAGAGTGTAAGAAGACAAAACAACATTTTTCTTAATTTCTTCTATTTGATTGAGGTTAAGGAGAATAAAATAATATATTTATCTTAAATAATTATTTTTTTCTATAAAAAAATTTAATTTGAGGCCCCCTAAAATTGGGGCCTAAGGCATATGCCTAATTTTTATAAGCATTGAGCCGGCAGTGCGAGATGAGTCCCATGTTGAATATCAATAGTAGTAGAAGCTGTTGTAGCTGCCAGAGTTGCTTGGACAGTAGCAGCAAATGTGGACTTCAATTTGCCATTCTGATTGTAGTCCTCTCTGAGATATTATTGTTATCAGTATCTTTCTTTTCTTTTGGCAAAATAATTAGGCTCTTATTAGGACAACATTTCTAACTAATGGAAAAAAATAAACACCAACTAAAAGGGAACAATACAATTAATCATTCTCTGATTCGATCCAAATGCAGGATGTTGGTTGAACCAAGTTGAAAATATTTGGACTTGAATAAGCTTTGATGCCCAAGTAATCGAAAGAGTAATATTTGTGACTGACCAAACAATAGAAAACACCCTTGTTGTTGTGAAACATTGAAAAATATATCTTGTTTTCTAGCCCTGTGCAACACATATTTTCAAGCATGATCTTGCCAATCTCACAAACATTGTTTTATTATTGTCTAAGCTTGTTATTCTTTCCCTCTCCAACTCTTCTACATTCATTTTGTACCTCCAAACCTCTACTTCCTCTTATGTTAATAGTGGTATCAGTAGGAGGGGCTTCAGATTGTTGCTGTCTGTTCTGTTTTGTGGGGCGGATGTCCTTAAAATTTTAGAATTGAACAAACTCAATTCTTTACGATAGGGGAGAAGCACAAAAAGGGAATTGGGGATACAACATACATAAAAAAAAAAAAAGATTCTCCTTTTACACCAATGTTATAAAAAGAACGAAACACTTCCAGATCAGAAAAGGAAAATGAAAACAGAACTCTTCATACTTTAACGAAATTACAACATACATAAACACAGGAGTTGGGTTCATTCCGATGTCCATATAGTAACCCTGCTAAAACCTGCTCATACAAATTACAACATACATAAACACAGGAGTTGGGTTCATTCCGTTATCCATATATTGCTTCATTTGGACCTGTTTCATTCCGTTACTCAACAATACTGAGTTATCTTCACATTCTAGAGACATTCAAATATCTAATTATACAACAAAAGACTTATACCAAACCAAGTTTTTAACACGATTGTAAATCTCGTAACAAGATAGTATTACAATTCTGGTACTGAATACAATAGAGAAGGCAAAACAGATCATTGTTCAACTTGACAAGCAAAAAAGATCAGTAATGTATCATGATAAACATCAAAAACAGAAATGTGTATAGGACTCATACTATTCACAAGGTTGATCAAAATAAGTAAATTATCAAAAAACATAGAAGGTACATGGGACACACAAGCAATGCACATTCCCAGAAACTAGTCTCTAAAAAGATGGTGGAGATTTGTGGAAAGTCTAGTAAAAGATAGCGATTGATTTCTACAGATTTTGAAGCCTATGCAGTTGTAAAAACATTGGAAAAGACGATGTGAATGAGATTTTATTTGAGCACCTGGGCTCTTATTTGGCTTTTTTTTTTCTTTTTTTTTTTTTGGCTGATGATTTGGATATACATAACAATGAGGCTGGTTGTACCTCTATGTCCGACAAAAAAAGGTCTTATTCAAGCTTTTAATGATATTACATATGTTATTCATCAGAGAAATGAATGTACACTGTTCTATAATCAATTAAGCTATTTTAACCAATCTTTGTAGTTGAAATTGGCTAATAAGCAGCTTTTTTAACTCTTCCATAGTTGGTTTACCCTTTATGAATTTCCCGACTATGGCAAGCTTACTGGCAAGATTAAAGAAAGTAATCTTCGGCACTAAAGAAGACAGCCAACTCCCATGTTGGAATATTAAAAGTAGTAGAAGCTCTCGTAGCTACCGGAGTTGTTTGGACAGTAGCAGCAAATGTGGACTTTGATGGAACAACGGTGTTTGATATGCCACCAGGGACATTGTTTTTTTTTTTTGTTGCACATTCTGATTGTAGTCCTTTTTGTGGATATTGTTGTTAATGGTATCAGAAGGAGAGGGTTCAGATTTTTGGTTTTAGGGGTCCGGTGAAACATAGGTGTTACCGGTGGTTTGAAGAGAACTAGTCGTTGGTTTTGGATGTGAGAGAGGGTGTCCGCGATTATTGGAAAAGCAAGGGAAGAAGCCACAAGCAAACCGCACATTGGTAGTTATGACATTTGGAGTACTTCCACAGTAAGTCAAGCCAACTCTAGTCAAAACAGATTACTTGATAAAAAAGCAGTATATCATAAAAAAGAAGTATATCATTCCGATATCCATATAGTAACCCTGCTAAAACCTGCTCATACAAATTACAACATACATAAACACTTCAATCGCTTCAATCCATGCAGTCAGCCAAGTACAGATCGATGAGTGTTCAACATTAGCTTCCACTTCCTGAAATTCAATAGCAGAAAACAAGTTATGGTTGCATCTGACAAAATTTGAACACATGACTAGTAATAAAGGGCAGCATAAATGCGAGCGAATCATTTCTCCATGTAAACGGATGTTCGGTCAACTGTTTAGCAATGAAAATGAACAGATACATTCAGCTGAAGTCCTTAACTGACATCTAACTCACCACAATTTCCATACATACACATAAGTGAAAAGTAGTACATGAATAATACATTCAGCTGAAGTCCTTAACTGACATTGTCAAGAGTATTCATTGTTGGTTTTAAGGCTTGGCCACTGTCAGTACCAAATTAGGCCAACACCACCTTGACAGAGTTTTAAGCCATTACAATTATTCAATATGGTATAGAAATTGCTAACCAATGGTAGTATCATTAGTGAACAATAGATAGAATGGGACCATAACTCTCTTCTTTCAGGGACAATATCAAATCCCCTTCTCATCCCACCATCTTCTACAAGTCTATTGACGGTCTCTATTCCAAAAAGACAAAGGAGCAAAGATACAGGATCCCTTTCGAACTTCCAGTGTGTCGAAATTTAGAGAAATAATACTTACAAAACTACAAGCTATACAAGCAAATATGATGTAAGTATTCATTGTTTTTCCACCTTATCGGGAATATAATATTTAATGTCTTGGCCTAAAGTTGACAAAAAATAAAGTGCAAAAAGAGCATACCTGCTAAACTAAGCAGAATTCTCAGCTAAGTGATTCTGAATACGACGTCCCTGGTCAAATATCGTCAGGGGATTAACAATGCTTTCTACATAGATTTCTATAGCATCACATCCTCCATCATCAACAGATCCCTCCACATAAACATTGTGCTTTAGTCGTCTGGTTGAACCGTCAAATATCATGATCAATGGGGGAAGCAAAAGTAAAAAGTCTCCATTATTTGACTCATGAAATTGTATAGAGAATGCATCACTAAGGTGTGGAGCCCACATAAAGTGCGACAGATTCGGATGATATTCGATGGTGAACAATTTCGTCCAAAATTCACAATTTTTGAAAATCCAGACATCCGATGAGGTATCCATAAAATTACTTGTATTAATCAGCGAAAGGTCATTTCCCACGACTCCAAGTTGATAATTACAATTGTCTTGTCTAAAAGTGGGAAGCTCCAAAGTTCCCCATGTCTCGTCTGCTGTATTAAAAGAAATGATTTTGCCAATACCAAGACGATTACATGAAATCCAGTTAATCTTCCCATTGATATATTTACCCAAAGTATTTGTTAGAAAGTTGCCCTGAAGCTGGCCATGTACTGTTGTCCAAGAATCAGTCCGTAAACTGTAAATGTAGACCACAATCTTCGGATTGGACACGTTGCACATACTATCATAGTAACAAAGACTAGAATAATTGATGAATAGAGCTTTATAATCGTCATGTGACTCGTCATATCCAAAACCAAATTTTGTATTGGAAGAGGAACGCAATGGCGAATCATGTATTTTCTTTGACTTGCTAATAGTTGGGTTCCATATATACGTCTCCAATTCGTGATTGCAGAGACAGATGAGTCCATTAACAGAACCAACAAAGAAAGCTGATAGATTCGGAGGATCCATGTGAATTAGCTCCTCGTCAGTTACTTGTCGTTTGTTAAACAGAGGAGGGAGACGACAAAACTGGAGGTTTTCAAATATAATACCATGGTTTCTGAATTTTTTATCATTGGCTGCTATTTTCAGATGCGTATTCACAAAATGAGGGCTAGAGATTTGTTGATTCCATGATTTTAAAACGGATGTAAATCTCATTAGTGACTCTGCGGGCAGCCGTAAGAGAATTTCTGTAAGGATTTCATTTGGGATTATGATTTCAGTTGTTGTAGAAATTGGAGTAGTGAAAATAAAATGATACCATAAGAGAAGGAACTTGAATAGAATGGTCTGATAAATCCAATCCCGAAATGAAAGAAACGAAAACATGGCGAACAGAGAGTGAAAAACAGAGCAGACAGTGAGGCAGAGTAGTATTTTTGTTTTTCCAACGGCTCTCACTTATTTATTAAAGGTGTCGGGACGTCAAATAAAAGAAGAGACTGCTAAACCTAATTAAAAGATGATGGAATACTGAATTTATTTAGAATAATTTTAAATGTGATCTAATATTTGTTAAATATATTTAGAATGATTTTAAATGTGATCTAATATTTGTTATATATATTTAGAATAATTTTAAATGTGATCTAATATCAGTTATATATATTTAGAATAATTTTAAGTGTGATCTAGTATCTATTATATATATTTAGAATAATTTTTAATGTGATCTAGTATCTATTATATATATATATATATTTAGAATAATTTTAAATGTGATCTAATATATGTTATATATATATAGAATAATTTTAAGTGTGATCTAGTATCTATTATATATATTTAGAATAATTTTTAATGTGATCCAGTATCTATTATATATATATATAGAATAATTTTAAATGTGATCTAGTATCTTTTATATATACTAGTTTTACGGCACGTGCGTTGGACGTGTGTATCATATTATATAGTATACGATGTTGTAAAATAGAATTAATATGACTAAATTAAAGTTTTTTAGTAAATAATTATAAATTGAAAGAATAGTGGTCAAGTGCTTTTGAATGATTAATACAGATTGCCATAAAGTTAATTATTTTTTGAGACCAAAATGACCAGATTTCATTGAAACATTTCAAAATACATTCAAAATTTAAATATTGTGAGAAAGTGACATTTCTTTAGTACAATTTTTTTACTTTACTCAATTTTGTAAACAAACTTAACCAGCAAAAAAGAAAAATCATATCAAAATAAAAAAAAGTCACCAATAGTCTTTCCTCTTGAGGTTATGACTATAAATGATAGACACCATTTAAGTACAATTTTTCTCTTAAATATTAATACTTCAAATTTGATATGTGCATGACAATAATAACTATTATCATAAATAGTGCAATATTTTATCTTTATACGTAATATATTTTTTACAAAATATTATTACTCAATTAATATTTGAGTAAGGCTATCTTAGAGATGTAATTTTACCAAAAGTGTACTTCTATAGAAAATTTCAACACTGTTATAAGTAGATTTATAGGGAAAAAAAATTATAACATCAAAAATTAGTTCTAAAATTTTTTAGGCTGCTAGAGTGAAATGTTATTATAACAAATGATGGTTAAATAGAGAATTGAGTGTATGTCAAATATTTATCGTGACCAATTTTTCTTTTAGATATATATATATATATATATATATATATATAGTAGCATAATTTAATATTAATATATGAACTACATCACCTATGTTGAAAAATATTTTATTTCTTTATGTTTCTACCATATCTTTGTGGAATTGTAGTCTTATCTTTTTTATGCAGCATACATTTCATGTAGTTGTTGTCTGATGAGAGTATCTAGTATCTTATAGAAGTTGTATTATGATATAAAATATTAAACTTTTTCAATAAAAAAAATTAATTGATGAATACAATTTAATTAATTTATTTATAGAAACTTTAATTTGATTTAAGATCATTTTGTGATTAAGCACTATTTTCTTATCTATTTTTATATAGCTTACAAGGAGTGTATCTTGAGACATAACATTTTCTTAGATCAAAATGAACACAAATAACAGAAAATTCATACATAAGAAAATTCAACAAAATATAAATATTAAAAAAAAATATATGGAACAATTCATAGCCAATATAGAAGGAAGACGAAAAGTTATATTCATGCTATATTCACTCTAGTGTTCAATTTGATTGAAAGCTCTTGCCACCAACACTTTACTTTCTCCAAAAAATATATTGAAAAATTCATAGTTGAAAGATTGAAAAAATATATAAAAGAGATGTGCTGAATGTTTCACATATTTATCCCTCTGTTTAACACATGTATATATAGCAAAACTTGAAATAATAAACTACCCAACTATCCTATATATTAGCAACCTTAAACAGCATATTAGTCCTATATACTAGCTACCTTAAACAACATATTTGTAGTTACACGAAGTAAAAGTGGAAAAAACTACAAACTACCCAACTATCTCCTAATTTTTAGTTACCTTAAATAACAAATTACTATTTACATGGAAGTAGAAATAAAAATAAGGAATCTGCAATTTCCAGATGGAAAAACAAAACTAAAACTTAAAAAAAAAAAAAAAACTGGTGTGATTCTACTATGTTAGTAAACTTTGTGTCGTCTAAAAACATAGTCCATTTTAGCCTTTTTCATTCTTCTTTGTCACAAAATCATCATCCTCGAGCTTCTTCATCGATGAGTCTTTAATAAATCCAACACCCTCCCTCAAGTTGGACGGGGAGGAACGAACACCCAACTTGTTCAATAGGAAATGATGAGAAGTACCAGGTAAGGGCTTGGTAAATAAATCTGCTACTTGGGATGAAGATGGAAGAAAAGAAAGAGAAATCAAACCAGTGAGGTATTGTTGACGGACAAAGTGACAATCTAAGTCAATATGTTTCGTCCGCTCATGAAAGACAGGATTTTTAGCAATATGAATTGTTGCTTGGCTGTCTGAATGGAGAGATATTGGCAGTGCAGGAGGCAAAGACAGGTCGGAAAGGAGACGAACTAACCACGTCAGCTCAGCAACAACCCTTCTCATCGATCTGTACTCGGCTTCAGCGGATGAAAGGGAAAGAGAAGGTTGTTTCTTTGATTTCCATGAAATAGGACTGCCTCCAAGACTAATAAAAATCCCACTAACAGATTGTCTAGAATCTAAGTAAGTAGCCCAATCATAATCGCAAAAAACGAGGAGAGTTAAAGAAGGAGAGGAATTGAGAAAAATCCCCAAACCAGGATCAGAAACAAGATATCAAAGAACATGGTGTGCAGCTGCAAAGTGTGCTTGATGTGGAGACTGCATATATTGGCTAAGGTGCTGGACTGAAAAAGAAATACCAGGCCTTGTATGAGTTAAGAAATTTAATTGTCCAATGAGCCGTGTATAAATAGTGGGATCCGTAAGAGGAGAACCCATATTTGCTTGCAATTTTAGAGTGGGATCCAGAGGAGAAGAGGCAGGTTTGAATCCAAGGCAATCATATTCAGATAATAGTTCTAGAATGAACTTTCTTTGAGTTAGGATCAAACCGTGAGGTTCTCGGATGACTTCAATGCCTAAAAAATAGTGTAAATCACCTAGATCCTTGATCTTAAATTCTGAATTAAGGAAAGATTTCAATGCTTCTAGTTCTGCCATATCATTACCTGTGAGCAAAATATCATCCACATATACGGCTAATATAGATACAGATCTACCAGTGCATTTATAAAAGAGGGAATAATCATTCGATGAGTGTTGAAAACCTTTGAAACTCAATGCAGCAATCAGCCTTGTGTACCATTGTCGCGAGGCTTGTTTAAGGCAATATAAAGATTTCTTTAGGCGACAAACTTGAGTAGGATCAGAAACCTTCAAACCTGCTGGGAACTTCATATAAACTTCTTCATCCAACTCACCATGTAAAAAAGCATTATTTACATCTAATTGGTAAAGACCCTACCCTTTCTTAATAGCGATTGCCAAAACACACCTTATAGTAGTAATCTTCACAACTGGACTGAAAGTTTCAGTAAAATCAACACCTTCCTTTTGAACATCACCCCTAACAACCAACCGAGCTTTAAGTCTCTCCACAGAACCGTTAGAGTTGAGTTTTACCTTGTAAACCCATTTATTGGGTAAAGCCTTCTTTCCCGGGGGCAATGATACGACTTCCCAGGTGTCATTGGTGATAAGAGCATCTAATTCTCTTGTCATAGCCTCCTGCCAATCTGGATATAAAATGGCTTGGGAAAAACTGGTAGGTTCTTTAATTTGTGAAAGAGAATTGATATATTGTTGATTAGACGTGGACAAAGCATTAAAAGAAAATGATGTAACCGAGATAGGAGAAGAGAAACAAGTATGAGACACATTAGAAAAGTGTACACTATTACAAATGTAATCTTCTAAATATGCAGGGGTCTTGATAGATTTGGGTAGATTTTCTCAAGGTGATAGGATTGATAGGAGGGATGGAAACCGAAGGTTGTGAAGGGAGAGTGGGTATGGAAGGTACATGAGAAAGTTGATTAGGAGGAAACGAAGAAATAGGTGAAGGAGAGGATATAACATGATAATCAGGATCAGGTGTAATTAGTGAATCTGTAAGAGGAAAAACAGAAACAGGAGGCTGAATAGAAGAAAAAGGGAATATATCTTCATAGAAAACAACATTTTTGGAAACAAAGCACTTTTGAGAATGTAAACTAAGTAACTTATACCCCTTTTTCCCAAAAGGATAGCCAAGAAATACACAAGGTTTAGCTCTAGGATCCAATTTAGATCTACCCTGGGAAAGAGTAGAGGCAAAACCAAGACAAAATCTTAATAAGATAAAATAATTAACTTAATTGTAAACTAATAATTTAAAAATATAAGTACTAATTAACTAAATCAATTAGCCCACTAAAACATTTTTTGAGACGATTTTCGAATATTCATAAAATGTAATAAATATATACAAAATTATATATCATATGTATATTAGTTAAAAATTATTAGAAGGAAAAAAATGAAATTACTCAAAATGACTCGGAAAATATTTAAATTTTATAAAGTCAACTATTTCAAATTATTGGGAATTTAAGAAGTTCGATGATTAATTTATATTGTGGAGGTACAAAATTGGATGTCAACAACTGTCCCTCTTTTGACTTGGATTGATGAAAGAAATCGGAGGCAAA